CACGTTATTTTTGACCACTTCAGTTGTCCTGGGATCATTTTATTCAAATACCGAGCACTCTGCTGTTGGTCGCAAAAAGGTCGCTGTCCAAACGATACATTGAGGCTGGATTGAAGCAGCATTTCAAATCTTTGAAGTGTCATGGTGATAGTATCAAAAGCCAAGTCCATCTTAAGGGGGGAGGGGGGCTGAGACAGAACCAAATGTCCGGTAAGGCTGAAATGCAAGAGTGCGGGGAACAAGCTTGATGTTCCCCGCATTCTTATGTTCAGCGTTATTGGAAAGCTCCATTGGAGGGCCGGCCAGCCTCCCCTGTTGTCAGCGCAGCAGACCATAGTAGGCGGGCGAATAGGGTATTTCACCCAGTTTAAACCGGATCCAAAGAAGAACAGTAATGCTTCCTGAACTATTTCCTCCTTGACGCTCATTGGCTAACGCGGACGAAGTTCGTGAACCCGCCACCAGGTCAGCGAGTGCCCTAGTGTCGGGTGCGAGAACTTCGTCCGCGTGAGCCAATGAGCGCCAGGGAGGAAACAGTTCAGGAAGCATTATTGTTCTTCTTTGGATCCGGTTTAAACTGGGTGAAATACCCTATTTCAGCGGAACACCAAAACCCTCGTTGAAGTTGAAGTGAACCGGTACGTGTGTTTCGCGACGCCTGTTACGTGAGACGCGGCCTGGCCTACATCTAGCTTGGTATTCAATGAGGAAGTTGCCCGATAAGAGGAACAAAAAGAAGGTAGCGCTGAGGAGGTGGCGTGGCGTAGCGCCGTCCCTAAACAAAGCAGAACGCGGGCGACCATACTGTGTTTTGTCGCAAGTGGATGTGTGATCATAAATCAAGTTTTGTCGAATTTCTAAAGAAAAATTGGATCCATAATAGACCGGCGTAACGATCTTGTGTCAAAAAGTGCTTCTGTAAAGTTTGGCTTCGGAAAAGTAAGTTTATACAATCTTCTAAACCGTCCCGGTGTCGTTGTTTAGGTTAGTGTACGGACATATTGCATTGGTACAATTTTAACTCAACGATAATGACTCAACTGTCGTAAAAGCTTTGGTATAGGTGGTACCAAGGTGCTGGATGCATAGGCCCCTTCTAAACTGTTTGAAATCTAACGACACGCATCCTAACCTCTTCTAGCCTGTCGCTCATCTTCTGCTTTGTTTAGGGACGGCGCTACGCCACGCCACCTCCCCAGTGCTACCTTCTTGTTCCTCTTATCGGGAAACTTCCTCATAAAGCATTCCGGTAAAGCTAGAATAAGGAAGAATGCAGTGAACAAGAAAACGGGAGCCACGATGCTAACGCTTAGCTATTGCCTTTTTTGTTCCCTGCATTCTTCTGCATTTCAGCTTTACCCGGAATGCTCTTCAGTATATTTTCAGGATGAAGTGTAAGATTGCATAGCCAACAATTCTCTCAAATATTTATTTTTTATCGTACTTTTTAGCTGGCAGAGGTTTTGTTCTTTGGCAGTAGCCCACCGTCACACATCTACATTCGGGAATGTAAGAAATCAATCACGCTATTTGTCGGGCGTTTTAATCTATTGCTGTCCACACCTACACCTCGTCTGTTCTTCAGAGGACGAGGTTCAGAATGGGTGTAGATAGGAGCACAAGCACCGACAGGCTGGCCACGCTGCTGCTCGCTGTCTGCTGCTCGCACACCGAAGGCCTCGGAGACGCCATGTGTTTGCAAACTGTGCCGAGGAAATCCTGTTGAGCGCCGTCATCATCCACCTGGTCCAGGAGCTGGAGCAAACCAAAAAAGTGAGACAGGATTGTAGAGCACATTCAAGCTGAATGATAAGCGGGCACACTACGAGATCACTTGTTGTTTTAGATAGTGGCAGTAAAGGCCGACGCAGTAATATTCACTGCTGTGTAAGATCTTTTGTCATTGAACGACCTTAATACCAAGGCGTTCCGGGGAAGCTGAAATGCAGAAGAATGCGGGGAAGAAGAAAACGGAAATCGCAATGCTTTAACTTGGTGACTTCCGTAGTATTGTTTCATTCCTCTCCATTACAGCTAAACTGGAATGCTTTCTTCCATGTTTACAATAGAAATTAAACATTCTCTAAGTGGTAAAAATAATACACTCTCAGCCCGTTACTGACACTTTGCAAATACACAATGAACTTGCTTGTACAGCAGTAATACTCACAAATTTAGTTAGTAATACTAATTATTTTGTTAGCAAGTACTTAGCATCATCTTCCTAAGTAATTCCTCACAAATTTTTTAGTATTACTAACTAAATTTGTGAGTATTACGTGCAATTTTGTGAGTATTACTGCTGTACAAGCAAGTTCATTGTGTATTTGCAAAGTGTCAGTAACGGGCTGAGAGTGTAGACCATTTCGCTGAGCCGAAAAAGAATAAGAGAAGGAAGAAGCAAAGGTTTCGTTTAGGGCTGATAGGGACGATTTGCGAGTGATTTGTTGACTTAAAAATATCACATATGCTCTAAAAAACCATTTTGAACATGTAAGAGTTGTAGAATGCTGTGTTAGAAGGTCCATTAAGTCTCAAAATAAATATTTGCTCCTTCCTCCCCTTCTTCGTTTTCGGCTTAGCGGAATGGTCTATTGTGATAAGTTTTGATTGACAAATCTATTACGTTGTTTTCTTGAACGGCAAGTAAAGAAGGCTTTCCTGCGTAGAAAGGTTATCTCCCCCGTTTTATCCTTTAAGGGGAAAATTACGGGTGGTACCAAAACCTCCCAGATAGAGGGTTGCAGAGGCCAACTTTTTAAACACTTACGCCGTTGAGTGCGACGGCTGGCACACCATATTTGTAGATCTCGCTGGGAGTAATTTTCCCCATCTCCGCAAGCAATGCACTCCCTTCAGTTGAGTTGGCACAGGCGATGATCTGTTGCTTGTCGACGTCTGAGATCTTGGTCAAATCAGCGCACTGATGAAAACGGACATTGTTAGATATCGTACATTGAGCTGGGTATGGAAACGCCCTTAGGGCGAGATTGACCTATCGTTTGACCACATCGAAGAGAGGGTATGCATATTCAGATTAGGATTCCTCCGCGAAGGACTAACCGTTCGGAACCATCGAGGTGTCTAAACACAACATTTTTTCTTAGAAGATTCGATATTTGACATGTTCGAGTTACAAGAAACAGCAGTTTGTTCGATTTCGACGGATTGAAATCACCCTGTAACCGACCTCGGGCTGCAGCGTCTCTGGTGGCCTGACTTGCAGTTAGCTATTCTGGACTCTACTGCCCTCGACACCGGGGTAATATTACAAGAGTTCAGACCTTACAGATTCGTAATAACAATACGCGGTCGACAAAATATGAACCGTTAGTTATTAGTTGATTTAACTGAATGTAGTGCAGGAGAACGTGACTCTTGGCTGTTTCTTGTAAGTTGAACGTATAAACTATCGAATATGCAAGGAAAACCGTTGTGTTTAGACACCTCGATCGTTCCGAACGGTCAGTCCTTCGCAGAGAAATCTTAGTTTGAATGCGCCCTACCTCCTCTTCGCATCGATCAAAGGATAGGTCTATCCCGACCAGGGCGTTGTCATACTCTATTTTTAGCAAAAGTGACCGGCGTCAGCTAACGAAATCTCTTGCAATATTAGACCCTTAGTTTCAAATTAGTTTGTGAGCTGCGGACATATGGCAGCTTTGACACATTTCAAAAGGCTGCAATGTCTTTTTAAGAAAATAAACAAACTGGTTTTAGCCGCTTTTTTACGGGTATGAACGCTAAGCCGATCGGGTGTGAATCCTTAAGGGGCAGTTAATTTCTAGCATGTACATACAAGGCACACATAGAATGTAGGCCGAGGTGGACAAAGTATGACTAAGAGAAAATTTCATTTGACTGCTGAACTCTTTTTGACTCTTGATTTATTGAATATCCACGGGCAATCCTGCGTGTGTCGATCTGAGAATAACCATGCGGTACCTTGTCCGCAGGGTATGGTATTGTGCGGTCTGGATACACTGCCTCCATGAGGCAGGTGAGGTAGGTCCAGAGTTTGCTGCTGTCCTTCATCTTGTTGAGTGCGCACGCGTGCACCTTGTTGCCGTAGCACTCCGTGTCGCCGTGCTGACACGAGAATGAGTACGAGCCATCCGCAGATTTCGTTGTCTGGAACACACAATGTAGTTTAGGGCTGGATGTGTGGTCAAAATGAACGCCAACTGCGCAACACTGCGAGATTTCAATCGTTTACTAGCAACATTTGTTCGCATTTTTAATTACGAGCAACCTTAAATTTTTGGCAGTCCATTCTTTCGTCCAGAAAATGGTATCCTAAGAGGGAGAGGAAATACCCTGCTTCAACGCTATTTTGATCATTAAAAAGTACAAGGAAAATTTTCTGTGGCTGCAGTCAATATTGACCGCTTGTTATTTTCCAGCAGATCTCGTACATTAAAAGAACGGGGTCACCGTAGAGTACTGCTAAAAATAAATCAGAACTTGACGAAGAATTTGCTTTGAAAAAAAGTTGGCAGAACTCTTTGTGGATTTTTGGGAAACCACAACCATTTCAAATTGAGATAGCAAAATGCACGATTTTTAACTACAAAGGAGTGTTGTGATTTCACACCATGTCCATAGAGATATCATGTGTTACGAGATCACGATATGTTTTTAACATTCAAAATTTAGGGCACCGAATCTGGTACAGGGTGTAACAGTACGGGACGACCATACACGGAAAAAAACAAGTAAGTTAAGACAACTAAATGGTAGCTGCCTTAGCTTTTATGTTTGCTAATATCGTGACAAGCATTTTTTTTTGCTACCACATCGAAACGTTTGCTGTCACAGCGACGTATCAGCTGTGAGAGCTAATGCTCCACCTGCAGGAGCAAATGCGATGTCTGCTTCAGTTGATTGGGGATAATCTACCAGAACGAGCACTAAACCTAATCCAGATAAGCATTAGCTGCCCTCGCTAATTCTTGCACACATGAGTCAATTATTCAGCTACGGTAGCTTAAAAGTTGCTTGTCACGATATCAGCAAACATATCAGCTATGCGAACTTACATAGTTTTTTCCGTGTACCAATGTGCGCGGCTACCGCACCAAAACCACGATACAGTAAAGCCCACGGGACGGACACTTTTGTTTGATGCTCTGGGCACCGTACTAGACGTGAACGGTATGAGCATGCACGGCACATCATTCCGTACAAGCCTTGGGATTTTTTTCACTGTGTTTTTCGGTATTTTTTTCAGATATTCAGAAAATTTAGTTTCCGATGCGGTCTCTCCCTTACAACGGGCATACAGACACGCAGAGTGGCGTCCTACGTCTACAAGCATGAGAATAGACAGTTTAGCACGCCTTTTTGCAGGCAGAAGGGCGTGCTAAAACAACGAAGTGCACTTCGTGGCCATGGCTACCGCGGTGACGAGCCTTCTTTTCACAGGTAACATCGGTGACAACCTACTTTTAGTTTTAGCAAATACACCTGTACGAAACTTCAGAACGCAGTGTATTCCGTGATATTAAAGCTATGGCGTGGTTGCCATAACTTACATTGGCCTTGCCGTAAGGGACCAGCTCGATGGTGTAGCCTCTTGCCAAGCTGTCGAGTTGCATAGCTGGGTAAAGCTGATTCACGAAGAGTTGGATAGAGAAAGGACACAGCGTCTCGTAATACACAGTTACCCTGGGTCCTCCACACACTGAGGGCTTGGGGTCCGAAATGTATTGGCAAATGGTACCTGTCGCAAAGTAATTCATCATCATTTTGGTTTTATATTTGAGGCTCAAACTGCCTTGACTCTTAAAATTCGACCACACCACGACAGTTGCTCGTTATTTTCTTGTATAATTGTTTCCCCTGTTTTCTCCAAAGTCATTTTCTTTAGTATCCCCTTACACCCCCTCAGGCGTGGTCTTTGCCAGGATTCGCACCACGCATGGAACGGGCCACCACACCCACAAAACTAAAGTCTTAATTCAAGGCAAATTTCGGCCTCTTTGCGCTATTCTTAGCTTATTGTAGCCAATTTCTTGAATCACGGTAAAAGTTCCCTCGGATGAAGAAATACAGATTCAAGAAAATCGGCTTGAAAAAACCAAAGCGAAGAATGCTGTTTTTCAGGGCTCGGACACACCCTCCGGTCGCCCAAATGCCTGGAGTATTATATACGGCCACACCAGCCTTCCCTGAAAAGTGTTTGTTTTTCTTTTTTAACATTAATTTGCTGACTCACCTTTTAAGTTGGTCTGCGCCTCATCAATGTCTTGTTGATTTTTCGTCTGTATAAGAAATTAATACAAAAAGAACATCATTAGAATGTCAGACAACCCTTTCACACATTCTGTTTTATGGCACCCAGCACAATGTCATAATTCTGTCAACACAAATGTGTGTATGGAATGCTCTATCGAGCAACTAAAGGGCCATGTATGAGGAGCCTGTTTGAGGGGAGGTAGTGACCTGAGCAAATACAGATGAAGTAAAAAAGTTCAACTCAAAGGCTTCAGACGGGAATGGGGGTAAATGCAAATTGTAGAGTTACCCTGTGCTTCAATATCTACCTTAATTTATTATATTGGACTTCCTGTTCGTTCCAAATCTTACTCAAACACTACAAATTAGTCGCCAGTAGTTTAAAATTGAACAGTACACACATCAGTATATGGGATGACGGGTCATCCCCTCGAATCAGTGACATTTATACACTCACATTATTGAGCACGACGGTCGGGACCCAGGACAGCTCGGGTCTGCTGGGAGTCAGCTTGCCCATGTCGGCCAAGAGTTGGTCGCCCTTGGTGGAGTTGGCACACTGCACTATAGACTGCTTGACTGCTGGGTCCACTCCGGTGAGATCTGCGCACTAATGCCAATGTAGTTATGAAATAACTTCATCCGACGCCTTGTACCACACTATTACACTAGATTTTTTAAAACCTTCGTAAGCTTTCAAAGACTCTGACATATTTTTATTACAGGCATGGTGATTTTGTTTGTTTCCCCGCTTTCTTCTTGTCAGCTTTTCCGGAAGACTTTCTCGCTGTCGGCAGGTCAAGCAGGCCCGGCCCCTGCCGCGAGCAGTTGGGTGCGAAACAAAGTTTAGCTGCACGGCAACTACGATCGGCCGAGGGATGGGCCGGCTCGTTGCATCCGGGGCCCTATCAGAATAGCAGAGCAGCAGGCCGGTGTAAGGGGTTTACCTTCTCCGAAGGGTAAAGCGCTGTGCGGTCTCTATACAGAGTTTGGAACAGGCAGGTCAGGTATCTCAGAAGCTGCCCCTTCTCCGTCATTGTTTGCAGCGCGCATGCGTGAACCTTGTTGCCGTAGCACTCCCTGTCACCATGCTGACATGTGAAGGAGTAGGAGCCATCTGACGATACGTTTGTCTGGAACAGGAATATAAAATACGGCTCACTTTAAGCCGTTTGCGGTCATGAAGCATTCCGGTAAAGCTGAAATGCAGAAGAATGCGAGGAACAAGAAAACGGAAGTCACCATGTTAAGGCATAGCGATTTTCGTTTTCTTCTTCCCGCCGCATTCTTCTGCATTTCAGCTTCACCGGAATGCTTTGTTACCGAAGGGCACTGTTGGAAATCAAACCGTATGGAATTTTTTTTAGCGAAAAATGTCTTGTTAATTTGTATGCACAAACATTCGTCAAATAACGAAGAAAATGTAACTCGGTTGTTCTACTACTTGGTCAATGTACGCCAGACCACGTCTCGCGTAACAGGCTTCGCGATATCTCACGATTCACTGTGAAGCTGCGACGTCCCTGGCAGACATCTACCTAGACATGCGGCGCCATCAGCTGAACCGGGCAAAAGGCAGAGTCGTCGCCTCCGGCTCTGGCCTCAAAGGTCACAACTTTTGGTTCATATGGTTTAATTTTGACGAGGTACCTCACCGAAAACCATTTATCATAACCATTATTGTGTATGCTTGTCATCGGTTATTTTTTTTTATTTACGTCTTGTGGAACCGGAGCGCATCTTACCTGAGCAAAGCCGTAGGGAATCAGGGTAAGATCAGTGTGTGCCAGCAGACTCTCGGTCATCATCGCTGGGTAGAGCTGGTTGACGAAGAACTTCATAGAGTCGGGGCATAGTGACTCGTAATACACAGTCACAGGTACGATACCCTAAACCAAAAGAAAACCATTAATAGCACCTGCTTTCACACTGCAAACCCAGCTTACCCCAAACACATATGAGACTGTGCTTGCCAAAGTACACACGTCCACAAACTGACCATACACACACTTTGTGTGTTTGAGCGTTACCCAAGGTAATGAAGCATTCCGGTAAAGCTGAAACTGAAAGGGGAAGAAGAGAACGGAAATCCCTATGCTTGAACAGAGGATTTCCGTTTTCTTGTCTCTGCATTCTTCTGAATTTCAGCTTTACCGGAATGTTTTATAGGGTATTCCGGACAAGCCAAGCGCCGCAAACAAGATTCGAGGATAGCGCTGGTCGAATCCCAGCCTCATGGCATTGTGTCTATTCGACACTCTGCAGATGAGCACCTTGCCCCGTAAGAAGGTAAGAAAATGGTGGCGTAGCGTAGCGTGGTCTCACAACAAAGCAGAAAGCCACATCGTGCAATATCGTTTTCAGTCAAAGTAACATATTTAAATTTGATATACCTAGTACCGTGGGTACTGCAAACAAAAATTTATCAAGTAACGTCCACAAAACCGTCATGTGAGAATATTGGTATCAAGTTATGTTGCTTTGTTGTGAGACCACACTTCGCTACACAACTATCTTCTTTCTGTTCTTACGGGGCAAGGTGCTCATAGGACATTGTTGTTAGGACGCGTCGATTTTGGGTTGTTTGATGGCGCCTGTGAGCCACAAGGGCAGCAGATCACCCCCGTGCGCGGTCGGGTGAGGGACTACTTACTGGGCTCGCTGCATGACTCACGAATGAGTCGCTCACTATTGAGGATATTCTAGTAAATAGAGTGATTGTGTGGGATACATCTCTCTCACATTTCGACTCAAACTGTTATACACCGATTCCACCCATATCCCAGCCTTGCTGCCACAGGACCCCAGAATGGGTTAGTTCCCTTGTAGGAGCGCCTTAAGCAACTTCACTACAGTTAGGTGAAAACCTACGATCGAAATATTACACCACACCCACAATAACGCATACCGGTCAAGCATGCATGGAACAAGAAAACGGACATCACTATCCTTTTCCACGGGACTTCCGTTTTCTTGTTCTCAGCATTCTTCCGCATTTTAGCTTTACCGGAATTCTGTATTATCTTATTTCACATGGTTAACTGCTTTATTTCATTGTTGTCAACTGCTGACCCCAGGTGATCTGAGGCGGATATCAACTCTCAGCACCACTAGGTGCGAGGTCCGAATCGACATGTCACTTATCAGAAACGATAAGTGATATCGGTGATAATTAATCTACAGACTCCGCTCGGAAGCCCAAGATAATGGAAGATTGATGAGTGACTTGGAAGTCGGAGCGCTGCTGGCTGGCCGAACAGGCGCGGCCCCTGCATAACGGAGTTGTGAAAACAGGCAAACGTGTATGTTATCATAATACAACTATTCCAGTCAGTGGAGTAGAGGCTTCATTATCGCTCAGACAAAAATTCGGAATTTTTCAATCCCGTTAAGCCCACTATTTACGACAGCACAAATTTTGCAGGTTTCTGTTGTGTATTTCGGTTGCGCGAAGCAGCGGAAACGGAATGGTCGAGCGGCTGCTGGGTCCAGCTCAGCTGGCGAACTGCGCAGGCCGCTCACCGCTCCGCCGCCTCCCCCGCGCATGAGCGACAGACGTGCAGCCTCCGCTTACCCGGAATACCCTTTCGGCTTATTTAGCTGATCGTAAGCGAAGCCTATTACTCCACTGGACGAAGGAGCTTCATTTTGTCTGTCGGTACGCACGATAACTTAAGAGCCGATCGAACAAGCGGTCTGACATTTTCAGGCTCGTTTTGTAACTTAAAGCCGGGTTGAGTTGTAAAAGGAGCATTGTAGCTCAAAAATTGGCCTTTGATATATTTGTCACATATTTATTTTGGTGGTTTTTATGATAAACCCTGGGAAAGTAGAGCCATCTGGACGATAGCTTCGTAAGTTTTCCTCTAACTTTGTTCAGGCCCAATTTCGGTAAATTTTTAAAGAAAGTTAAATGAAAGTAAACGAATGGTCCATTAAGTGGTAAAAAAGGATTTCTCTCGCAGAGTTGTAGAGGATGTATACCCACTAACGTCGCAAGAAAACATTCCGGTAAAGCTAAAAAGAAGAAGAACGAGGTGAACAACCAAACGTATATCATAATGCTGTACCATGGTGACTTCCGTTTTCTTGTTTCCCGCATCTGCATTTCAGCTTCACCGGGGAAAGCTTTATTGGCGCCGAACCACACCATTTAAAGGGTTCTAGGTGCCATACATCCCCTATTACGAACAGATGATTCGTGTAGATGAATCTGACAAACTGAGCCTGTAATGACAACTTTCTCCGAATAGCGATTCATTTCCTTTATTTAAGAGTGATAGGTCCCGACAGTTGCATGACAAATTTTGGGGCCTCAAGGCCCCATACCAGCATACTTTACTTTTAACTTGCCTCGGGTGCCAGCGACGCAGGCCTAGCTATGTGTGCGTCCGACGCGTCGCAGTGGAACAGTGTTCCGTGAGATATCGCGAAGCCTGCTACGCGAGACGTGGTCTGGCGCACGTCTAACTAGTTTTAGATTTTTTCACAGCGTGCGTCACTTCGCAGTGAGAAATGAAATATCAGACCGATATCGAATAGGGTGGTACAGTAGTCCGGGGCTCGGTTAGACCGGAAAGAGAAGAACAAAAATCGTCGGGCGTGGGGAGGAACGGGGCAGGGTGGGGGCAGCACCCCGCTCCTCCTCGCGCCCGACGATTTTTGTTCTTCCCCTTCCGGTCTAGCCGAGCCCCGGAGTACCCTATCCGATATTAGATTTCTCACTGGGTTGTTCACTGTTGTGGGTTCGGGGAGTTGATAGCTCTTCGTAAAACAAGGTAGCTAGTTTCAAAACCTATAGGCTACCCCTCTCGACGCGGTAGGAAGAACAAGATTCATAAAAGCCGAGGGTGGGGGTAGCGAGTCGGCTTCCCCACCCGCCCGCGCTCCCCCCACCCTCGGCTTTTGTGAATCTTGTGTTCTTCCTACCGCGTCGAGCGGGATAGCCTATTGAACCTTGACTGTACTGCGCGGTACTTACACTGACTCCTGAGACTGCGAGCAGCGCGGTAACCAACAAGGTGTACATCGCGGCGGAGGTGAAACTTACACTGCAGCCGCTCTGGTTGGAAGTGCAAATCAGTCTGGGCAGTCCGGCTCACAATGTTATCGGGCCTAGCTCCGACCAGTGTGTGTCTGTCAGCGCGCTGGCTTATTCTGATGACGTAACCTCACCAAGATGACGTAACCTCAAGAAGGCCCCACGGTGGCCTGAATCGCCTCCCACTCCCGAAGCAAGCTATGGGTGAGCGATAGAGAAGACTACATTCTAGTGTCGATCCTAAAGGTTTCACATCTGTCGGTCTGTGTGTGCGTGGTAGTGCGCACGCCCTCTTCGGGCTGTTAAACAGAATCATTGCGAGCACAGTTCACAAAACATCTTTGCTCTGCTGGCATCTTCGTTCGGCAGGGGCCAGCTTGGCGTGATCGCGGCCCGACCCGCTCATTCACTGCCTGACGTGAGCTCACCGCCTCACGGTGCTGGAGGCGGTAGAGTGCCCCCCCCCCCCCCCCGGGCGCGAAGCAAGGTCACTGTAACCCTATGAGAGCGATGGCAGGGGACCAGAGCCAATCTATATCAAAACTGGTACGGCAACCAGCTATTTTCATCAAAACGATAGGCAGCCACTGGGAACTGTCCAATAAGAAAATTTGGGAGGTTTCTTGGGGGGGGGGGGGGGGGGGCAAGAAGTCTCCCTAACTTTTGCTACATATTTATTTTTCGTTTTCATAGACTAAAAGATACGAAATGTTGGCATGTCAAATCTTTGACAAGTATCTTAAAGACATCGTCAGCCAAGACTCGCCAGTGTCCTATAGGGTATTCCGCTACAACGCAATCGGAACCTTAAGAAGAAAAGCATGACTACCCGATCTGTTTCCTTCTGAACGCTGATTGGCCAAAGATGGGTGTGTCTGTGGCGGTCAGCCAATGAGCGCGCAGAGGGAAGCAGATCGAGCAGTCATGCTTCTCTTCTTTAGGTTCCGGTTTTATGATGCCGTGAGGAGCAGTAGGAGAAAACGGCAGCAGGAACTTTTATGATACATGTAGGGTACTCCACTCCGGGCGCGCGGCAGCTGAAGAAGGCAAGAAGCACCACAGCAGGGAGTGGGGAAGCGCGTAGCGGCAGCGCGGCGTGTCCCCCCCCCTCTTCACTTATGTGATTCTTGCCGTCTTCTCCAGCCGCCGCGCGCCCGGAGCGGGGTTCCCTTGTAGCGGTATGAAAAACACTAAAATTCTGTAAATGTGCGTGTTAGATCTTGGAAACCTTTACACTATGTACTGAAATAATACTAGGTAGATGTACGCCAGACCACGTCTCGCGTAACAGGCTTCGCGATATCTCACGAAACACTGTTACGCTGCGACGCACCTGGCATACATCCACCTAGGCCTGCGGCGCTGACACCCGAGTCGGGCAAAGGGCAGAGTCGTAGATAGGCCTTCGGCTCCAAAGGACACAAATTTAACCCCCAGTATTTTATTTTGACGAGTTGCCCCCACCAGAGACCATCAAATATCTGTGAAAACAATACTAGGTAGATGTACGCCAGACCACGTCTCGCGTAACAGACTTCGCGATATCTCACGAAACACTGTTACGCTGCGACGCGCCTGGCATACATTTACCTAGGCCTGCGGCGCTGACACCCGAGTCGGACATAAGGCAGAGTCGTAGATAGGCCTTTGGCTCCAAAAGACACAAATTTTACCCCCAGGATTTTATTTTGACGAGTTGCCCCACCAGAGACTGTCAAATATCTGAGAAACAACATTAAAATGGTTTAGGGTCATTTTCGTGTGGATATCGCCCTCTGGCGACTAAACGGTTAGAGATAGAGCCAAACGGACAAAATTTTGGCCCTATGGGTTCTACTTTGACGTATTACGTCTTAGAAAGATGTGAAAAAAATATTTTGGGGTGTTCGTTTTTGATTTTTTTGACAGGTCAATTTTCAAGCTAGAGGGCTCAAAATCAATACCGTTCTTGCTTTTTATGCTACAAAGCTACGCTAAAAATTTCAGGTACCTAGCTCAACCTGTTCTCGAGTTATCGTGTTTACAGACAGACACACAACTTTTTGATCATCACTGGAGTAATAGGCTTCGCTATCGCTCATCCATTAATGAAAAGCTCTTAAGGGGCTCTACTTTGACCCATAGGAGGCTGTTACAAAATAATATTTTTAAAAAACGTCATTGTGGTGGGACCTGTGGTACACCTAAAATTAGGGTAAAACTAAAGATATTCGATAAAGATATGCACTAGGTAGATGTACGCCAGACCACGTCTCGCGTATCAGGCTTCGTCATATTTCACGAAACACTGTTTACGCTGCGACGCGTCTGGCGCACATAGCTAGGCCTGCAGCGCTGACACTCAAGACAAGTTAGCAGGGGAATAAACGGAAAGGGGCCCTTCGGCCACCAAATAGGCCATGCTAACAGCAATGTGGGGGACTCATTACTCTACAATTGGGGGTGAAACTTTGGATATGTGCGCCAGACCGCGTCTCGCGTAACAGGCTTCACGATATCTTCCGAAACACTGTTACGCTGCGCCGCGCCTGGCATACATCTACCTAGGCCTGCGGCGGTGACACCTGAGTCGGGCAAAGTAAAGAGGCCTTCGGCACAAAAGTCACCAATCCTGCTCCGCAGGGCTTATGTTCACGAGTGTCCATATTGTAGACTAGAAGATCTGTGTTGGTGGCTTCTACACATAAACACAATACAGACTGCACTTTTTTCATATTTTATTTTGGAGATAGGAATTCAAAAATCTTAAATTATTAATAGTCGCTGTCTTTCAGTAACACAAATCGGCCCTGAAAATTCCAGGTCGCTAGCTCAATTTGTGTGATGCGGTGGCTTCTACACATGAGATCTGAACAAACTGCACTTTTTTTCATTTTATTTTGGAGATAGGAATTAAAAAATATAATATACTATTAATAGTCCTTGAAAAGAGGCGATTTTGACGAGCTTGCAAGAGGAAGCCAGCCCTTCTGAAAACTCACTCGCTCCTAGCCCTAGTGGCCGGCTTCGACAACTCTCGCTATGTACGCTAGAACACGCGTAACAGGCTTCGCAATATCTCACGAAACACTGTTGCTGGGACTCGCATGGATTACATCTACCTTGTCCTGCGGCGCTGACACCGGAGTCAAGTAATGGAGAATTATACACAAAGATACTGGCCTACGGCCTGCCACGTGTCGCAGGCAGGGTTATAATTATCCACTTAGTTTTGTCAAAAATACCCTCTCGCCGGGCGCGGGGGGAGCGGGGCAGGGTGGGGGCAGTACCCCACTCCTCCCCGCGCCAGACCGGCCCGACGATTTTTGTTCTCCTTCCGGTCTAGCCGAGCCCGGGAGTACTCTATGCTGTGATATTGCCATTGAATGAATACCCGCTTGGGACCCGGATGGACCCGCTTTACAGCTCTGGATGCTCTTCTTCGAACTCGATGTGTCTTTTTATAACTCAAAACGACCCTGAACAGTTTAGGTCGCTAGCTCAATAGGGTATTTCACCTGAAGCAAACCGGATCCAAAGAAGAACAAGAGTTCTTCCTGAACTCTCTCCTCTTTCCTCCTTGGCGCTCATTGGCCGATGCCGACGAAGTTCTCGGACCCGACACTAGGGGTCGACCGCCCTTGCGGCCGAGACTGAATAGGGTCTACTATGCGAATGGGTTAGTTTCTTGGAAGCAGATGATAGGTAATGATCAATTATATTATATCAGCACAGAATGTAAAGGTTTCAAAGATCTAAGAACTACATTAACAGAATTTTGGTGCTATTCGTACCGCTATTCATATCATACTATTATGTCATCTAAGTTCCTAACAGGGAGCGGAGGGCGCACGCGGATGCTCCCCTACACCCGCTGCTCCTCCGCGCGCCCGCCCCTACCACCGCTTCCTGTATCCGTTTTTGTTCTTCTAAATTCCTGCCAGAACTCCATTTAAATACCCTGTCAAAGCTGTGAGATATTGGCTCCATTAGAGATTACCTTTATAGCCTTTTATTTTACAAAATTTCGAATTTTACGACATATTTGTCTTACAGGCAAAACAGATTACTGGAATTTTGTATGAGTCGCAGCACAAACATTTACATGAGAAAAGTAAAACCCAGCAGCAAAGACAATGACATACACAAAAGCATTCATCTTCTTCGTCGCTTGTTGTTCGCCTGTGAGACCAGCAGTAGCAAAGACATCTTTTTCTTCTAAACAGCACTCACACTTGCATTGGTTTGTCGTGGGCTTCATGGCGTTGCCTAAAAACCTAAAATTTTGAGGAAATACAATTGTTTAACTAATCTTGTGTCCAAAAGTTTTTTTGAGGGCCAAAATACATAGTAAAGACTTGTAACCTTTTTAAACAGACTGCAGGACAGAAGAAAAAAATATTTAAACTAAAGCTTGTAGCAGAGAATGCTTAGTTACACACAACCAATCAATTGTACTCTCAGTTTAAAAATGAAACAAATGAGTGTTTCACATAAATATAACAAATGTCAAGTTACATTTGTTTGTATATGTCCAAATCCATTGAGATTGTGAGCTAGGAACCAGACTGTTATGTAAGCCAGTTTTGCCTTAATGAAAGGCATTGCTATAGCCCTCACAACAAAGCAAATAATGACCCATTGAAAAGGGCTTGCATTATTTTAAATGAGCAACAACGTTTCAAAGAACAAAAGTGTACCAGTAAGTTACAAATCACATGGAAACACCCTTGGCCTAGGAGTAAAAATAAAAAAGTGCGCACTCACCAATAAGTTGTAACCAGCAACAGGGCTGTTTTCTGGAATTTCTACTTCAAAGAATGACTCCAGGCAGCCCTGCTTGACAGAACAACTACTTCAAAGAAAGCAGGTTCGAGTGAACAAAAGTCTGCTAAGTATGAAACAATATGAAAAAACGACCAGCCGATAATAATGCATTTTACACTAAATAAGACAAATTTTAGTGAAACCTCTCCTTATGATGAAGTTGGTCGCAGAATGCCATCTAAAAAGGCTAGCGAGCTATGTAAATGACATGGTACGCTTTCCCGTACTTACCCGTAACGGCAGTTGGTGACGCCGGTGACGGTGGCCCCGCAGCACGCTGTCATGGTACCCCCACGATATTTTTACCCCGAGGTACAAAATAACGTAAGAAACGCACGTGTTGGGCGTGCACGCCTTGCAATAGGGGGCGGCGGCGAGGAAGGCGGCGAGATCGCCCGTGGAGCTCCGGCGGGCCCTCGACACATGAAAAACTGAAAGACATGTTAACAGGCGGGAAGCACGGGCGTGCGGTGCGCGCGGGGCAGCGGGGGCGGGGCAGGACCGCGACTTACTAGTTGAGTCTGACAGCAGGTCTGGGCTTAGGGGCTCCAGCGCCGACCCCATGGACGAGAGTCTGGCTCTATTGAGCCCCGGCGAAATGGTGGCCAGGGAGAGGCTGCGCAGAAGCTTCCACGGGGTCTTCGGCTGCTGGGAGGGGCTCCACCTGTGCCCCGTCTACCCGCGGCCCCAGGCTGAGGCGGTGCGCGATGCACAGCGTGCCCCGCGGCGGCACTCTCTCCTGCGGCACTATGTCCGTGGCAGGCGCGCGCGGGCCCCCGGCGTCCACCTCGTTGTACACGCGGACGGTGAATCGGTAGAGCGTGGCGAGCGCGGACAGCACCGCGTTGTTGCCCCACGCGCCGCCCTCGCCGGCCGGCCGCCGCACGCCGTCTATCACGCCGGCCAGGGCGGCCGCGGGGTCCGGCACCTCGCATCTCGCCGTCCACAATCAGCCTCGCGTACCGGCCAGGCTCGTCCAGGACGAGGCCGACGGCGGGGTCCTGGTACAGGTCTGGGTGGGTCTCCATGAACGTGGCTGCTTCTCTCCTGAGGCTGGCTGCCAACTTCATGTGAGCCTGGCCTCCCACCGGACTCAGCCGGCTCTTGCTGACGCCCCGGTGGTGCAGCTGGTGGCGCCAGGGCCGTGAGCATACAGTCCCCGTCCGACGGCATGCACAGGACCTGCACCTCGCCCTCCTCCACACGCACCGTCTGCTTCGTGCCGGCGGCGGCCCAGACCTGCAACGAACGCACGTGTCACTCACAATTCACCAACACACAGCGAACGACTCTGAGAAACACACAAGTCAAATCTTATGTACCTGGGAATAGGAGGGCAAACCCTGTCATCGCTGTCCGGCAGCAAGGACGAGCACGTGCTGAAGACATGTACGTCCCGGTTGCACGCCACACACTCAGTGTCGTGGGGGACCCTATCAGCACCAAGAGTGCAGCACGGGACAGCTTTAAAAAAAAAAACAGGAAAAACAAAACGGAAGTTAATTATTTGTAGGATGGCCACATCTAAATATTACAGCGATACTTATAAGTGAAATGCTATTACTTGTGGGCTTCTAGACCAGTGAGCATACAGTCCCCGTCCGACGGCATGCACAGGACCTGCACCTCGCCCTCCTCCGTGCCGGCGGCGGCCCAGCCCTGCACCGAACGCACGTGCCACAATTCACCAATACACAGCGAACGCCCGGCCCGCTCGTCTCGTCCCTCTCGGTCGACGCCAGTGCCACTGGCGGCTCTTCGCGAACTACGAATGTGCTGTCATTCCGTGGCCCCTTGTTTTCTGTGCTCCTTGTTTTTCTTACCTTCGGGAAGTTTTTGTTTCTTTTTCTACAGTCAGGGCAGTTGTTTGCAAATTGCTTCACACGCTCTTTCTTCCCCCACCAGTCAAATGCATGCAACGAGGCTGCTTGTGCCCTTGAATGGATCCCAATGCCAAATCCTCGACGCCGGTGTTTTCTGAAAAAGAAAATAGAGTTGGAGTTACTCGGATCGTGGTGGCAAAGACAAAATTCGCACTTCTTTCATTGTTTAACAGTCACTAAAATTTAACAAGAAATAATCGTTAAATATCGCAACTGTTGGACCGTCTGTCAAGTTGGAGGTCATCGGAAGCTCGGAAGACGCCGCTGACTCCACCGACATCGACAACTATAATCCGGCTTAAATTTCGCATCGGGGCTGTTTGGTGCACTCTTTGTTCCATTCTCTATGGTCGGAGGCTGTCGGGGCACATCACAGACACCATCAGGGATCCTTGGGATCCTGACAAATCCTGCGCCCCTTCCCCCTCCCCTTCCCCGCAGCAACTCCGGTTAGCTTTAAGGCTATTGTAAATGCTATATCCAGTCAAGAATTGGTCGTTTCCACGCTTCCCGGATGACATGGTTTAGATATGGACCTCTATATATGAGCAGATATGAGTATATATGGGCGCCCATATATGTGATTTTATATGATCATATATAACTCCATATATAATGCTATATACGATCATATATAACGTTATATATGATCATATGAAACATTATATATGATCATATAAAACATTATATATGATCATGTATGTCGGTATGAAGGGCGAGGCCTGCATAAGAAGGCACATGAATTTCAACTCGTTCAAAAGTAAAAGAAAACTTTTTTGAAATGGAATTCGTCTCCATTCCTTCCTCAGAGACTTCAATACTTGTTTAATTTGAATTATTAACTCCAAATTACCGTGAACTTACCTGGAGTTGAACTCCCGACCTGCGTGTTACGGACAAGTAAGTACCCTAGACCACTCGCCTATGAAGCGCCCGTGTGGGAGGAAGTGATGGGAACCGGTGAGATTTGACTCATAAGTCCCATTTGGCTTTAAACTTCGTTATTATTGGCAGTAGAAAAAAAGTAAAAATTGCTATATGTTGCTTAAAGATCAAGGACTGCCTGATCTGGACTTATGTTCCTTTGTCAGATCCCACAGGTGGACTTATGTTCCTCTGTCAGCTCATGCATGGACTTACGTTCCTTCGTCAGATCCACAAGGGGGTGTCAAAACACCAAAGTCACACTAAAATTTGTTCTAATTGAGATAGAGCTACATATGTTTCGCTGAGATGTAAAGCATCCTTAAAAAAAAACATTCTGTGAAGGAATAAGTAATCTAGCTTTAAAACTGTAGCAGCCAGACTAGAATTAGACACACTTTTGGCTCTCCTGAAAAATTAGCTTAAGTGGACTTAAGCTCCTTTGTCATACCATCAGTGAGTTCCCAACGGCCAGTTCCACGGGGAGCCCCCTCGGTAGCCAACGTTGTCCGTGGCGTGGAGGCATTGCTTAGTGCCATTCTGGCTGGACAGCATGTTCGTAGTGGCGTAGCGTACCTACCACCTGCATGCAATAGGTTGATAATACTAATACAATCAAGGATTCATTTTGTTTTTAATCTTTGTGAACCTGATGAGCGATTTAAGGGGGCAGACCTGTGAAAATCATTTAAAAATTCACTTTTTTTTATTGCTTAAAAAAATTCTTTGATCTTTCCTCTTTATAATGCCGAAAAGCAAATGTCGAAATTCGAAAAATTGCTCTCAGGAGAGCCCAAAACGTGCTGCGGGCGGCCGGCTGGCTGGGCCGCTATATCGGCCCTATAGGGCTCGCCTAGCCGCTCAGGACAGGACACACAACAAGGAAGGAGTCTTCTAGAGCCCCGGAATCTTTAAGAACCAGCACAGAAAGTTGCCCCGACTTTTGGTTCGTCGTTGCACATCGGTACTGAAAACTTTAAACGCGTTTTTCTCCCACTTCTGTTTTGCGTTACCGTGTGGAGCCTCCAAGCCACAGTTTTTGAGCTACAGCCTAGCCCCTTCGCCTGGTTGTAGCCTAGATAGGTACCTTTCGTTTGACGAGAGCGATTTTTGATATCACATTTTAGGTACCCAAACTTTAAGAATTTTTTTCACACACTTAAAAATAAAAATTTCAAAATCGCTCTCGTCAAACGAAAGCTACATCTTTTAAGAGTAAATGAGTATTTTTGTCGTTGCTGCAGGTCCATCCGTTGTCGCGCAGTCCTGCACACGGTAAAGGCCCGTAACCCCCCACTTCGAGACAAAGAAGGGCATGTTCCCGGAGAAGCAAGCAGACGTTGTATACATCAAAACGTAGCTTAATCCTTGCTCTTTCTAAATATCTTTCGTTGAAAGCGCTACGATTCTTCGTTTTCTTGTAGTTACTATTTTCCCAAACCCTTGCGTTTCACAGGTCTGCCCCCTTAACTAGAGTTCTAGCCAGAAGGAACAAAAGCTAACAACAAGACAGTACATCCCTAAAGAACAAACTCAGTTTATTTAGTTCCAAAACAATTTACATATATTGGGGGAGGGGGGGGGGGAGTAGTTGACTGCAGTTACTCCTCCGCTATCTTCTCGAAGCGATCTTGTAGCGGAACGGTTAACCGCTCATTCGGACTTGTCTGCATTGGCCTTCAACACGAACTCCTCGTGTGCGGCTCCGTAGACATTGGCTAGTTGGTGCAGCTTTTCGACAGTGAGGCCCTCTCCATGATGAGTCCTCACACATAGTGATCAGGGACCTGCAGAAGTCTCCCGGGGCCAGGATGGCGGTGACCGGGAGGGGGCTACATTAATGTTATTCGGCTCAAATAAGTGCCCGAATGGTCTTAACCAGATCTGCCCACTTTTGGCTTAGGAATAGTGTGACAAACGACATTTACGCAAGTCCCAGTCACTCGTTCGTGACCAAGAGTGAGATGAAATCGCCAGTGACCATATGGCATGACTGGGAAATGTGGAAAAGTCCAGTTTACGTATTGCATGGGAATCGTGTAGTTTTTCTGCAACAGAAGTTACGATTACTCTTGGCGGTAAATAATTGAAGTTTGGGTAAAGAACAAACCCAGTGCAAGTGAGAAATGGTAAGCGGCTGTGAAGCGTGCCCAAATTTCGGGAGGAAATTGGTTGAAACCAGTTTCCCTTCCAGTAGCAGGCATTCTGGCGCCAAAGGGAAGTTGGTGTCAAGGGGTCTCCAACTCGCAAAATACTCAGTACACGTCGCCACAATATCCTCATAATACCCATATAACGCCTCATAGTAGGCCTTTTAAATACTTTTGTAAGGTGTTTGCGACACATGTTTCTGCAATTTATCCTCGGAAACTGCTTGGTGTTAAGTTTAATAAAGTTATATTTTTGAATAATATTTGAGTCTTACTTCTGATATATTTATCACCCTTTATCACATCTCATGCACTACATTTCCAGGGATATTAGGTATGGTTTATTCATCAGCTAATTACTCTTTAAAACACATTTGAAGGGTTTTCGAGAATTTTATAACCTTAGCTCCGAAAAAAACGAGCGTAACTCTGCTAGTGCCGGAGAACAAGAGTAACTGGCAGCAGCGCGGAGAACTCGAATAACTCCCTATCTAAATAGCCAGGCGTTACTCGAGTTCTCCGCACTGGTGCCCCAGTTACTCTTGTTCTCCGGCACTGGCGGAGTTACGCTTGTTTTTTTCGGAGCCAACGAAAGAGCTTTTTTAAGAATCACTTTAAAACGCTTTTATAATATGGTAATGGCTGGGTTATTACCCAGGAATTGCTCGGTAATTTCTCAGTAATTACTGGGTTATTAAAACATAGAAAGCGTTTTTTTTTTTTTTTTCAATGATTCGATTCGAGGCGGAAAAAAACTGATTCGCACCTACCATTTTTGTATACACTCCTATTAACTCGTCTTGGGTGTCAAGCACCGCAGTCCCAGCTATATGTGCGCCGCGCGTCGCAGCGTAACAGTATTTCGAGAGATATCGCGAAGCATGTTACGCGAGACGTGGTCTGGCGTACATGTAGCCATAAAGCTAGCTAGATCTATGGATAGACATCAAACACACGTACCTAAAAACACGTTTATTATACATCGCAAAATTAGGATATCATACGTATCGTAGTTTATCTATCTATTGACCACAAGAAACGTCTAATAAACTGTTACAGACCTATGAAAAGACGTCTATAAAATGTATAATATACGTCTAGCGGAAAGCTGTCTGCCGTGCTAGAAGGCGTTGGCTGATCGGCGCGGCGCCTGGCTCCCGGGGCGCTCTGCGGACCTCAGCGCTCGCCGTTCAAATCTGGCTAGACTTTAGACGCAACTTTTGGTACCACGGCCATCAGTAGACGCTCCCCTACAATTCTAGACCAACGCGGGGTCTATGCGATAAATATTGAGGCGGCTAGATGTCTCAACGTGCGGCAAGGCGGCAGCGGCGGGGCAGAGAGCTTCCTGCCCCCCCCC